TCCTCCCCCCCCTCCCCCAAAAAAAATTAATCAAAAATGTTAACCGCGCCATATGGTTGTTCATTTATTTTTATTTTTAAAAATTCCTTTATCCTCAATAAATTAATAAATACATGTATCGTGGCAAGCACTTTAAACACAAGTGTAAAAAAAGATTCCCCGACCCCTTCCCCCCAGTCGTTCCATACTGTTTAAGTACCGAAAAACACCTCGACCAATGCGACCAGTGTGAATTAACTTTGTTGACCCCGACAACCGACGGTCCCCGACACACGCGCTACTCACACGTAGGCCCTATGCGCGAGGTCATGTCACGTGATGCGAACGAGTGTTTCAAAGTTCCACTAACAGGTTTTGATGATGGGTCCGACTAACCAGAACTCAGATGTGCTTGTTTTTTAAAATCAATGGCAGAACAACAAATAGATTATTCTTAGGCCTATGTCATAATTGTTACAGTAATCAGGCCACCATCGGAGAATTGTGGGTATCAAAAGCGAAAGTAGATTTTGAGCATATCCAAGTTGGAATTCAAAATGAATACTACTTTGATTTTAGTTGAAATATCATGTGTGAGTCAACTACTAGAGCCAGCATTGATGTTTTAGAAAACAGTGTTTCAAGTTCCTGCCGATAAAAAGTCAAATCGGTGCTTCCAAGCAGAATGCAGAGAATGCAGATTTTTTGTTTCTATGCATCGGACGCTACAGACGCAACAACAAATAAATCAGGATGCTGGTGATCGAAATCGGGAAAATCAGGATGCTTGAGATTTGGGGCAAAAAATCGGGATAAGTGGCAGGTCTGCGCCATATCTTCCTAAAATGTTTCTTTAATCGTCTTTAACCTCTTCGCTGCCGCACCCGTAGAATTTATGGGCCTGAACCGTGTAGCGCTGTGCCTATGGCTTGTTGAATTTACGGGACTATGACAGAGGTTGTTTTGATACCAATTATAAGAGAAGTTACTGCTAAAATCTTGTAATTATTATTGAGGTACCTTCCCTTTATGTTTATCATCATTTTCCCCCCAACTTGAAAGCGTCAGATTCAGATCTTAGCTCAAAGAGATTAGATCTACTTTTAACACATCTTATCTAGCGTACAAAAATGATTCATTGGCAGTAAACACAGATGGGCTTACATGAATATATATATATGGATTGTACGAGATTTGCATAAGGTAGGAAAAGCCTCTTGTCACCAGGGTTGGTGATTTTTTGG